TTCGCCCCATTCATATTTTATTTTATTTATTTTATTTATTTATTCATTTATTATTATTATTTTTATTATTTATCTTCACTTTTTTTTTTTTTTTTTTTTTTTTATTTTTTTTTTTTTTTTTTTTTTTTTTTTTTTTTTTTCTTGTTTTTTGTTGCTGTTTTCCTTTTTTTTTTTTTTTTTTCTTTTTTTTTTTTTTGGTTGACTTTTTTTTTTTTTTTTTTCCTTTTATTTTTTTTTTTTTTGTTTTTTTTTTTTGTTTTTTTTTTTTACCCTGTAGTAACCCAGGGATGTGAGAGCTGGACCTTAGGGAAGGCTGAGCGAAGGAAGATCGATGCTTTTGCTGCGGTGTTGGAGGAAAGTTCTGAGAGTGCCTTGGACTGCGAGAAGATCCAACCAGTCCATCCTCCAGGAAATAAAGCCCGACTGCTCATTGGAGGGAAGGATACTAGAGACAAAGTTGAAGTACTTTGGCCACATCATGAGGAGACAGGAAAGCCTAGAGAAGGGAGTGATGCTGGGGAATGTGGAAAGCAAAAGGAAGAGGGGCCAACCAAGGGCAAGATGGATGGATGGGATCCTTGAAGTGACTGGACTGACCTTGAAGGAGCTGGGGGTGGTGACGGCCGACAGGGAGCTCCGGCGTGGGCTGGTCCATGAGGTCACGAAGAGTCGGAGACGACTGAACGAATGAACAACAACATCATTAATTTGTGCAATATTATTATTAGTAATATCACATTTAATACATAATATACAATTATTATATTATATATCATTACCCAGATTATCTGCTTTGAACTGGATTATATGAGTCTACACTGCCAGATAATCCAGTTCAAAGCAGATAATCTGGATTTTATATAACAGTGTAGAACGGGCCTATGGCTGGATCTACAAAATACAGAATATCTCCTTTGAACTGGATTATATGGCAGTGTAGACTGAGATAATCCAGTCCAAAGCAGATAATCTGGATTATAGGGGAGTGTAGATCCAGCCCAAATTATTTCTGAGGCGCCATCTGCACCACAATATAATGTAGTTCAACTGTATTTTGAAACTGCATTATGTGGCAATGGAGATGGACTCTTGCACCCTTTACACTAGTTTTCTTTCTCATTCTCTAATGCAGTGCCATCTCTTATCTCTCTCCACCTTTTCACTTTTTTCCTCCTCCCTCGTCTGTCATCTGCTGCCACCACCTTCTCTCTCCTCCCTCTTCAGTCCCTGCCACCTTCTTTCTTTCTTTTCTCTTCTTCTCTCGCTCTGTTTGACACAGTGCCATTCTTCTTCTCCGGCTTTTCTGTGCCACCCCCCTCTTTCCCTCTTTTCTCCCCTTCTCTCTCCCTGAGCTTTTTTCCAGAGAGCAAGAGATCCATTGATGGTTCTTCTCAGAAGTCTGAACCGGTGGCTTCTCGGAGAGCTTTTGAAACAAAGCTGGGGAGGACCACCATTGTTGGTGCACGACGTGGCAGTGGTGCTTTCTGCAGTCGTGCAGGATCCGTGGGCCACACACAGGGCCTGGCACCGCGGTGCTCCTTTGGAGTGGAAGATCGGCTCACCTGTGTGACAACACAGGTGGCAGTCACGAAGACTTCGAGGATGCCTCTCCATTTCACCCAGAAAGTGTGGCTTAGCAGGGAGACCAGCCGTAGTAACAACTGCAGCAGGAGTTTTAGTTGAGGACCAACCATGAAATAATGAAGCTAGATCAGGCATGGGTAAACTTAAGATCCTCAGATGATCTTAAAGTCCTAAATGGTTCATAAGGAGAGATAAGTTCGGATAGGTAAGCTGGACCGGAACCGTTTAGGTTCCGGTCTGGCTTACCTATCCGAACTTATCTCTCCTTATGAACCATCTAGGACTTTAAGATCGTTTGGGGAAGCCCTGCTCTTGATCCCGCCTTCCTCGCAGATGCATTTGGCGGGGATGAGAGACAGGGCCTTCTCAGTGGTGGCCCCTCGGCTATGGAATGCCCTTCCCAGGGATATAAGATCAGCTCCTTCCCTTCTGACATTCCACAAAATGGTTAAGACCTGGCTCTTCGAACAAGCTTTTTTCTACTGCATAATTAGACGTAAACAAATATATGGAATGACTGGCGATGCAACTGGACAACTATTTTAGTAAGGAGACGCCCAGGATCTTGTTTTTACAGATATATTTGCTTTTTATATTACATTTTAAATGTTGAATTGTTTTTATAATTGTTTTAACTGTATTATTGGAGCCCCCGGTGGCGCAGTGGGTTAAAGTACTGTGCCGGCAGGACTGAAGACCGACAGGTCGC